ATAAGAGGTTAAAGCCGTACTGTAGCTTTAGTGTAAAAGTATAATATTAGTGAATTCAATACAACGTTATTGTGTGGAGGGGGCGCGATGAAAATGATGATTGAAAATTGGGTCGAGAGCATTGAAAGTTTGAGAAGCACTGGAGTAACATCTCTACTTGCTTCTATGTATGGATCAAGCATTTGTGTTGCTACGAAAGGATGTTGTGCGTATTTAAATTGTGCCTCTAAAAATTTATACTATCAGCGCAGTTTTCATCTCATGGCTGAATGATAAATATTACATGCGCTATATATTTTGCGGGTTTTTTTTATCAAGCTTTATATTGAAACAAAATCGTTACTTTCATTTTTTAATTATTACTCGCGTCCCCCAAACCCCCGTCCCCGCTTCTTTTTAAAAGTACCGCAACTGTTGAAATTTGAGAAAGGATTTAAAAATTGAAATTTTGCATTACAGGTAGAATATTTTTTGCATATAAAATTTCAAAATGGAGAGAATGAATAAAACCACATCTCTTTTTAGAAACTAAATAATAATAAATTTAAAAAGGGGACATATGGAAGCAATCTTACGAGAAACCTTATCTTTCAAACCTCCGTCTTTTAAATTTAACTATCTAAAATAAAAAAGAACTGAAGATCTCCGATGAAAATCAATATATGTTTCAAGAGAAGAGAAGAAAAAAATATCCAATTAAAATACAAATAATATACATGAAACCAGAAATCAAAAATAACTACTCATAAATTAAATAAATAAAAGCATTACGGGGAATGTATTTTCAGAAATGAAAAGGAAATTTAAATTATATTTAAGGTAGGAAGAGAGGAGCTTATTTTCTAAAGGAAGATTTTTTTTGGGGGGATCTTGCGGCATATATCACGTAATTAACTTCCGAGTAATTAGATATTCAATTAAATTGCTTTCATTAATAAAAGAATTTTAATTAATAAATAAATATTTGTAATTAATTTAAGTGCGTTTACAATCTTATTATGTTAATTAACACTCGAAACAAAGATTGAAAAATTAACAAAAAGCTATTTTTTAGGTATTCCATTGGTTAATTTGCACCGCGATAGTCGAGTGATCAGTGCCGTGATTTTGTGGGTTCGTGGGTTCGAGTCCTTGAGCTACAAAAGACCCAATGTGTAGGGGGACGTGATGCATATTAATTCCGTTGAAGCTCACATTTCTTGCGTGGCGTGAGTGAGGGAATATTAAAGTCGCACTGATCAGCTACACGAGGGCTTTTGGGGACGGACCTCGAAATTTTGAACCATGGTCAAGTGACGAGGATGACACCTGATCTGGCATCCCCCTCTCCTAACTACCACATCACACGAACGGGAGGACGTCTGAGCTTTCGACAGATTTAACATGCATCGCTCCCCTACACGGCGGATCTTTAGTGGTACTGGGCTCGAACACGTGACAGACCAGCCACAATCTGATACCTTAACCACTAGGCTACCGTGACCACTTTCTTGCGTGGCGTAGTGGAGCAGTTTGGAAAGTGGTGTGCCAACTTGGGTGTTGTCCTTGTCATTTAGCCAAATTTGTGAGGTTCACCGCACTGCTTCGTACTGTTGTTTTTTTGTTTCAAATAGACTACATTGAGGCAGCTAAGTCATTTGCAGACACGTCAAATCCCCAAGAGTCGAAGCCATTTTATTGGTGGCACCATCTAGTGGTGGCTTCCGACAACAAATTTTGACGTTTGAATTTTATTCATTTCGAACTCTCGTTGGATGATAAATATCAGGGCTCCGAACCGTAATTTTTTTCGTTCTGGTTCAACCAATATATATATATATATATTTCAGTTCCAGTTTTCGTTTCGCCAAAAATAACGGTTTTCGGTTCAGTTTCCAATGAATAATTTTATTTTTGTATATTGTTCTTTGGACTATACATATGATTCTATTATAAATAAAAAATGTAATTCTATTAAAAATTAGAAGTTTTTATTATTTTTTTAACTGGTGATATTTTCTTAAGAAATATGTATATTTAAGAAATGTGATATTTTTAAGATATGTGTTATTTTTTTTAAAAAATCCTCTATACTTCTAAAAATCTACCTTATACAATTAGTTTCATGCGGAAGTGGAACAGAAAATTACTAGTGATTATCAAAACAGGAAATCTAGAAGAATGTACATGTAATGATAATAATTATATGGTTGACGTTAAATTAGAAAATATCGATAAGTTCGTTAGAGTTACAAAATGACTGAAAATATATCGAAGCGCAATCAAACAATGTTTTTTTTTCGGTTCATTTTCCGGTTTGCTTTCCGACCAAAATAACGGTGTTTTCTTGTTTTTGGTTCAGCTTTGTTTCGAAGCCCTACTAAATAGTGCGTAAAATTAAATTTTACCGCGAGCACAAGGGCAGAATTGATACTCGAAGGATCTTTTACATGCCGCATAATCATATAACATGCGTGCTTACGATTTTCGCATCCAAAAAATCTACCGACTCCAGCCAGGATCGAACCCGCAACCTTCGGCTTACGATGCAGGCACGCTACTTCACAGCCACCGAGTGGTTGTTGTTTTGGAGAAAAGTAATGTTTATTAAAGACGCACTATAGAGCAATACAAGAGCTATTCGCGAGGACCTCATAATTTTGAGCCTCGGTCAAGTGACGAGGACGACACCTGATCTGCCCCCTCCCCTAGCAATTTGGATTGCTTTTTTTATGCTAATGTTGGGTGAACCTTCTAAAACTATGAAATCACTTTAAGTTATGTATAAACTAATGAAACCGCTTAAAATATCAGTAATCTAAAGTAAAAATTTACGGATTTTTTATTTAAATATGTCTAATGTTGCTTTATGACGGGGCTCATCGCGTTTTCTACTAAAATCTCCTCTTGGGATCTTTGGGGCCGAAAAAGGCAAATTCTTTCCAACCAAATCTAGAAGCGAAACGTGAACATGCAAATTAGAAACCTTTTAAATAGCAGAAGTTTAACGTAAGTGGATGACCTTTTGGGAAGTGATTATGCTAGTCTGGTTTAAGTGAGTGAACTGAAGGAAGAGAAGAAAGCCGTTATTCGAGTGTGAAGCTATCCGTGACAGAACGATCAAGTCAAGGTGGATACAATTCCACGCGAGATAAAAGATATTTAGGATTCGAGAGGATTGCGGTTAAACAAGAGATTAAGGTAGGATAATTCTGTTATCTATTAGGAACTGTGTATAAGTTGAGATTAGGAATAGGCGCGAATATAGTGATTAAAGTCGCGCTTATTTCGTAATTTGTATTGTGTGTTTTCCCACCTCAGATCCGCTAAGTTATAATATAAATATTATCAGTGTTAGTGTTTAAGATAAGATCTTAATAAAGACATTTTAAGATCATGGCAACGCCTGGTTCTTCATTCAATCCCACACCTCTAGGTCACAAAGATAACTTAGGAGTAAGGTATCACCCACGGGTGAATACTTCACAGCTTCCTTATTTAAAAAAAAACAATTGTAAAAAGTTCAAGAGGGTGAGTGTTTAGTGATGTCGCACTATATAACAACACGAGGGCTATTGGCAACGAACCTCTTAATTTTGAACCTCTATCAAGTGAAGTGGATGACACTTGAGCATAGAGCCCCCTTATCAAACTACCACAAACTTCAACGGGAGGATTTTTAGCCTCGACAGTTTTAGCGTGCATCAGCCCCTCTACTCGGTGGGTCTTCGGTGGCACAACAGCTTGAACTCACGACACACCGTCTACAAGCTTGAGATCATAACCACAAGATCATTACGGTCACGAAGATCCGCCAAGGAGAGGGGATGATTACTTTCTCGAAGTTCAGAGTCCTCTCCCCAACCTAACCCCGTGGGCGTGTTGTGGTAGTTTAGAGAAGGAATATCAGCTCAGGTGTCGTTCTCGTCAGTTGACAGAGACTCAAAATTACGAAGAATGTTTTATAAATCAACGATTCTAAATACTCATTCACTCGAATTTTTTTCAATTCCTACTATTAGTTCACACACACTCTCCCTATATATATATATACAGTCGGACTTCTATATAACGAAGTCACTAAATCCCGAAAAGAAGTTCGTTATATGGAAAATTCGTTATATAGTTTCCTCTTTCAATTTTCTTTATAAACCACATAAAATAAATTTTAAAATCATAAACACTGTATAATAAAAAGAAGTAATTATTTACATCCTTTTGAAAATTAATATATATTTATTTTACATATCTTACCCATAAAAAAAAAAAGAAAAAAATTGTAAGAAAGGTTCCTTGACACCTTTATCCACTTAATGAAGAATTAAATTTTTTCCCTTGATGCTCAAACTCTTACGTTTTGACATTTTCGAGCTACAAGAAACGAAGTTGTCAGTACGACTGATCAATACTACAAATGAACGGAGACTTGTTTAAGGACATGAGACTCTACTGAGGGTGAAAGGTGATATCGAAGATGCTTCTAGTAAACTTGGCAATGTGTGTTAAAGGCTGCCCTTCTTGGATGAAATGCCCAGAATTCTATTGCTCTTGGCGAGTTAGGCCCCTAATAAAACTACCATAAAATGTGCTAAAAGAGAGAATAACTTGAAATGTCTAGAAATACTTCGAAATAGGGAGAAAAAAAATTGAATCACAAAAGGAAAAAGTTCGTTATATAGAAAATGAACTTCGCTATTGGGAGGTTATTTTACGAAGAAAATCGTGAAATGTACTTGGTTCCAGAAAAAAGTTCGCTATATAGAAAAATTCGCAATATAGAGGTTCATTATATTGAGGTTCGACTGTATATATATCTTGTTCAAATTTCAATCGTTAATAAAATACTTTTTATTCATCCATTCAAGTTCAAATACATTTTTTAAAACTTGTAGGAGATGATACTTAATGTTAGTACAATTTTTTCAAATATTAATTCACTCATTAAATTGAATTAGTGAATAAATAGTAACAAACAAAATAATAGTCCAACACAATACAGAAAAAGGAAAATCGCTTGTCGTGTCCCTGTAGCGCAATGGATAGCGCGTTGGACTTCTATTTCAAGGGTCGCTGATTCGAATCCTACCTGGGATGGCCTAATTTCTGAGAATGTGATTTATGAATGAATAAATAGTAAGAAACAAAAATAACAGTCCAACACCATGCATAGAAAAGAAAATAGCTTTCTATTTTGCCACTTAATATTTTGATTCTGTCATATGTTATATTAATATGTTACATATTTATATTAATTGTAATTATTTAATAAAAAGTAATTAAAATAAAATTTTCTTTATTGACCTAAGTAGGAATTAACTTAAAATTTTTTTCATATTACTTCTTTAGAAAAGGATTTTGTTATTTAAGCAACATAGTGCAGATTTATGAAAAAATTTTGTTAGTGTTTATTAGATTATTGTTATTTTGACTGGTTTTATTAGATAACACGCAACTTCTAGTGATATTTTAGCTTTAGAAGGCTCCCGTACCATAAGAATAGAATAACATTTCAAAACCAAATGAAAGAGAAATTTTATAAGGCGTTCTTGCAATGTGAAAAGTTACCAAACAAACGCCTTATGTCAGTCGGGACATAAGGCGTTCGTTTTGACATGTTTTGGGACAAAGAAACACAAATATACAATTATGCATAGGCAGTTCAGCAGATAATGTAAGACTTTATACCAAAAGTCCTTTATCTTTTTTGAGCAGAATTTGTTACAGTATAGATTAAAATTTTTAATGAAAAATATAATGATTGAAACAAAAGTGGGCTAAGACATAGATTAACCGATATATTTATGCTTTTCACACTTGAAATTTGAAGATAAAGTCAACACTAATTTATTAATAAATAATTTTAATACGGATATAAAATATACGAATGAATAATGAATTAAATATTCGATGTTTGATTATAAAGTGCTTATGTAGAGTATATGAATATATACTGAAGCGTGCGTAGTGAAAATGAGTGTAATACAATACATTCGTGTTTTACAGCAAATGGAATTAAAATTTTTTATTCTAGCATGCTTAATTATATGGATCCAATGTATGATCTATGGAAAATAATTTTTGTTGTTGAGAAAGAGTGAGTGAAAGAGAGAAAAGGAGATAGAGAATGAGAGTGAGTGACAGAGAGTAAGTGAGAGTGAAAGTGAGTGAGAGGGAGATAGTGAGATTGAGAAAATTAGTGAGAGAGTAAGAGTGAGTGAGAAAATTAGAGAGTGAGGGGGAAGTGAGAGTGAGATTGTGAGAGAAAGAATGAGATGGAAATAGTGAGAAAATGAATGACAGAGTAAGGGGAGAATGAGAGTGAAGGGAAGTGTGAGAGAGATAGAGTGAGAGGAAAATGACGAGAGAGAATATGAGTGAGGAAAAGTAAGAGAGTGAGAGAGAGAAAAACAGTGAGAGGGAAATAGGGAGATGGTGAGAGAAAATGAGTGAAAGAATGAGAGAAATAGTGAGAGTGAGAGAAAATGATAGAGAAAAAGAGTGAAAAAGTGAGAGAGAAATAGCAAGAGCGAGTGAGAAAGTGAGAGGGAAATAGAGAGAGGGTGATAGTGAAAGAGAGAAAGAGTGAGAGTGAGTGAGAAAGTGATAATGAGAGGGAAATAGAGAGGTGAGAGAAAGTGAGTGGAAGAGAGAGAGAGAAATGAGAGAGAGAGTGAGTGAGTGTATGTGTTTATGGCGCAAGAGCCAAATCTGGCTAAGTTGCACCAAACATTTGTTAAAATTATCTGTGATCTGGACGTGAAAAGAAGAAAAGGGAAAATTGAATGACGAGAAAGAGGGTCGAAAATAGGAGAAGGATCACTAGGGTACCCCGGGGTCGTGACACCCGTGTTTACCAAATATAGTAAACCCCTTGGGAAAAGGAAAAGATCACTAGGGTACCTCGGGATAGTGAGTGAGAGGGAGATAGTGAGATAGAGAGAAAATTGTTTTTATATTTTAGACTAATCATTGTAAAATTTTTAAATATTTGTTTGAATATCTGAAATACGTATTTAATTTTGCTTAAGATCATAGTACGGCTTGGAGTGAGAGAATTATATTAACGTCACACTATATAAAGCTGAAAAAAGGCAATGTAGAACGGTCTGGAGACAAACCTTATTATATAAAATCAAGATCGCGTAGTAAAAATTATAAATTCTTATCAAAATTTTTTATTAAATTCAAGAACACAGATAAATCTAGAAAAACAGAGGAACCGATTGACTGGAATCAATATCCGAGGTTGCGATCCAATAGTTACGAAAATTATGTGAATGGTGAAATGTTTACTGGGTCTCAGTTAAATCAATTAACAGATTTAGTCAAAATAAGGCTTATGTGTTGTAATAACGTTCTTAATGTTTATATGTCGTAATAAAATAATGCTTTTGTTTTGGAATAAATTTCAGAAAACAATACTGACATTTGAGTCATCATTCTACATATTTCCCTATTATTCTATCGTAATGATTTAAAACTTTTGCAACACAACAAATACGTTTAGCTATTTACCAACCTTAGAATGGAATGAAAAACTAATTACTGCAAAAATGTTAATATTGGTAATTTAGGTAAAAATTCATTCTGAGCAATTTTTTAAAATTGATTGCTTATTTGTTCGATTTGGGTTTTTTCTATCGCTTTTGTCATATATTGCCATAACATAAGCGACTTACAGTGGGTGATCGGCTAACAAACATAATCTGTTCCAAGACTATGTTCGCTATCCGAATTGTTCGTTAACCGATCATCGATTCACCATAGACTTCTATGTGAAATCGATTGTCGTTCTGGAGACCCTAAAAATTGAAATTAAAACCGAAACTGATGGTCTAATTTGTATGAATATTCTATTGAATTTTTTTTCAATAGAACTTTGAGAAGTTTAATAGGTAAGCAACATAATTCAGGAGAGATGAAAAACGATTTTTAGTCGGTTTCTCATATCTCAAGTACTTTTACGGCGGTAGCGCATCATCGGCACCTTTATGTTTTGTAGTCTACACTATTTGAAAAAATTAAGAATTCGCTTAATTTATTTGCCATGTCAGCAAATCCACTCACTCATAACTTATCAGCTGTCAGAAAATATTGATATTCATATTGAAATTCAAGTATTCAAGTGTGTATTGATTTTAGTCAAAATAATAATTATTGAATGACCTTTAAATTCATTAATTCAAGTTTCATTTAGTAATTATCAATAGTAAGCATGCTTTAAACATTTCTCCTTTCAGTGATCTTATTTTGTATGCAAAATGATAACAAATGTTTAATATTAATTTTTTTTCAGAGTCTAGAAGTGTTCGCTAGAATTCGTTTTGTTCATTATCCAAATATGTGTTCGTTGTCCAAACACAAAAAATCTTTCTTGGAAGTGTTCGTTATCCGAACACAAAATTCTTTCGTGAAAGTGTTCGTTAACCGATTTGTTCGTTAACCGATCACCCACTGTATAGGGGTCCCAAAACCTGATTTTGAAGGGTGGGGGGTGCCTAATATTTTCCGTTACGCCACTGCATCAATTAGTTGTTTCTCAATTATAATATTTTAGTGCTACTATTTTTTAAAAAATTCCTGTAGCAGCAATTTTTTATTTATTTTATAAGGAAATAACAATCAAAGAATAAGAACGTTACCAAAACAAAAAACTTTAAACAGGCCATTTTTCGATTATTTATTTTAAATATTTCATTTCTATAGTTATAGCACAAAAATTATTCACATATATATCCGTTCGTTGTTAAGTAAATTCTGTGTGAAAAGGTTTCTGGATTGAAAAGAAAAAAATTTGTTTTTTTAGAATAAATTTTTTCCATACCAGAAAAGAAACATATTTTTACTATTTTGTGAAAATTCTGATGAATTTTAATAAACTCTAATAATTTATATTTATTTGTAAATAAGAAACAGTTCATAAATATCAGTGAAATATATCGAAAATTTTATTTCAACTTTCAGAATAATTCAGAAATCAATGCGGAAAATATTAGCTCTGTAAGGAAAAAATTACGAAAATTCGCAACATTGATATAATAAATGCTAGAAAAATTCTAAATAAACTTTACTGGAAACTTTACATAAATTTTATAATACATTTAATTTATAAATATTCTGATAGAGGCTTACATGATTTTTTGTTAAATCATAAATTTATGGGGTCTTACTGGTAAAAACTTTGTCTCGGGGGCTGAAAATATAAACAATTTTCAATTAGATATAATTCTTTGAAAATAAAACTAAATAATTCGAATCTCTTACACATTATTTATTAAGGAATGAGGCTTCAAAAAGTGTAAAACGTTTAATATATACTCATAATTTTAAAAATTATAAGCATATGAAAATAGGAAACATTTTTGTGAGAAATATTAATTCAGTTTTACATTATATTTTCTAAAAAAGTAGCCCTAATTATTAGCAATAAGTTGATTTACAAAGTTAAAAGTATCCTTATTACACTGTATCTATTTTTATGTAAATAAAAATAATAAATTATATATTTTTTAAAAGTAATAAAATTACTTTTTTTTTAAAAAAAAGTAATTTAAATATTGTTTAAATATTTTGAAACAAAAAAGTTCATTAATATTAAAATTAGGCAGGGTTTAAAGAGTATGGTACATTTTATAATTCTATAAAGTTTTATACATCAAAGGCTACTAGTTTAGAAAATAGCATAGGCAAAGAAAAATTTACAGAAATGTTTCTTAATTTCATATGCCTATAATTTTTATAAAATTATGATTATATTTTAAACATTTTGAACTTTTTTGAAACCTCTTTCCTTTCTAAATAATGTGTAAAAGATTCGAATTATTTAATTTTAATTTCAAAGAATTATATCTATTTGAAAATTGTTTGTATTTTCACCCCCTCCTCCCCGAAACGAAGTTAACACCCCTGAGACTTCTTAAATCGTGAATTTCTGAAAGTATGCAAATTTAGAATTCATTTATAAAATGCTATTTTTTGAAAAAGGTTGCCGATTTTCTAGCCATTTTCCATAAATATACCATAAATGAACGGAAATTCAATAAAAGGATCGTTGAAAACAGTCAACAAATATAACTCTTCCATTCCGTCATTTT